TTTTTTCAGAGTCACTAGAAGTCAGTGAGGGCTACAATATTACAAGGGCATGAGGTCCACAAAAAACCCGTCTTTGTATCGATTTGAAGTACACAGCGCGAAAAATCCATGAGTAGGCCATATATAGGCAACCTTGTTGACCATGTTTCTCCAATATACGATTTGCATCAAGAGTTGTTTCGCTAGAGTCAGTGAGAATCCACGGTGGCTAGAAGCTACCATACATATGATATGTAGCAAAAGCTGGCATGGTATAACAATAGGACACGTAGGGGTGGGTATTCATGAAAAAGTGCCTTCAGGATGAATATGGGTGTCGAATTGGTGTTGCCTTAGTAAGAAAGACGACCGACCCACTGATCCACTCGCATCGAGACAGCGAAATCACGTATAGTTGTGCCAAGTCTTCTTGTCCGATCCCCCCATTCATCGTCAGGATCACCACTTAAAAGAATGTTATGTAGAAAATAGTTTGATAAAAGCACAACCTAAGTTGCATGTCAGATAAACAAATTAAATGGTTCAAATCCCACACAGCCTACTACGATTGATCGTCACTGCATCACACTAACCCAACTTATTGATAAATGAACACATCCTGCATTGCATAGTTCCCCCTAGTTAATGGTTTTCAGTGTCGAACTTACTTAATATTCACACAGATAATACACAACTATTCGGAAGCCTGACTCCTATAGTGATAGCTAAACGTATCCAACATTCCCTCTGTCATAATTTTCACACCGCCTTTTCAACCCTCTGTACATCAACATGCGATCCCCGCTGTTTTTATTCAAGGTGAAGTGTATCGGATACCGTAGTTTTGACTGATTCCTAGTCACCCTAAAAAAATCACTCCGGTTCTGAATCGTATAGCGGAGAAACAAGGTCAACAAGGTTACCTCTACAAGGACCTTTCATGGTTTTTTTTCGCACTGTGTACTTCAAATCGATACAAAGACAGGTTTTTTGTGGACCTCATGTCCTTGTAATATTGTAGCCCTCACTGACT